AATGCGAAGGTCGCGGGTTCGATTCCCACCGCGGTCAAGTAGAATTTTCTGCTTGCCCGGTTGGTCATACTTGTGTAGAAAAACAAATACACCTTACACATATATATCCACAAGTGACACATGGCTCAATTAAGAGCAAAAGTACAATATATATATATATATATATATATAATATATATATATATATATATATTATATATAAAATTTATATATATATATATATATATATATATATATATATATATATTACAATACAATTGAAGATAAAAAAGTCATGATCATGAATTGTAAATATTTATTTAGACTCTTGATTCACAAAAAAATTACTTCATATATATATATATATATATTAATATATATATATATATATATATATATATATATTACAATACAATTGAAGATAAAAAAGTTAAAAACCGTTCGCTCGGTTACTCGAGTTTCACGCTTTTATATATATATATGCACATTTCAGCACAATTCACTCCCCATGTAGCTATATTTTGGTTGTGATTTGATTTCTCTCGACTAGCTCCTCGAATCGGAAACGTGGAACGCTGAAAAGGCTCAAATCGTACAAATGATAGAGACTGTATGAAAGTAATGAATCTATATCAATGATGTTCATTGTGTGACATTGTTTATTACAATAAAAAAACAAGAGTGTCGCACAATGAACATCATAATATTGCTCAGGGAAATTTAGCCTATAGGCTTTGATAATGCACAAAAAATCATCTGGTCAACATAATTAGAGCTGTGGCCCGTGTGAAAAATATAACAAACCAGAAATTATGATCTATATTATACCATTTAAGTTTTGTTGATATTAAACTAGCATAAACCATCAAAGACGCCGTCTACAAATTCCGTGTTTTGTGAGATTGAGTTTAGCGCTATGTTTTAACCAAGTGCGTGCAGCCTTGCGCACAACTGGCCCAAGCCCAAGGGCAAGTTGCCAAGCTAACGTGTACAAACATTTAAGTTTGACCTTTCGGATATTTCGCTTATATATATATTTTTCGCTATACTTCATCAGAAAACGAACATTAGAATTTATCTTGCTTGGACAACATATCAGCTGCTTGGGCATCAGGAAAATATTCACTAATTTTGATTTGGGCTCCTTTATTAGGAAATTACATTCCGGATATTAAATTGCAATTATGCATGGTCATTGCACCTTGAAGCCTGCCAGCTAGAGCGGCAAAATGAACAAATTTGAAATGGCGCCTATCAACTGTTTATGCGTATATGAGCGCGCGGGTAAAGATCTTTACCAGTAATTTCGCGAAGACTAAACCAAATATTTGCTGGATATTAACATCTATGGGAAGTCAAGGCGTTTTACCCCTGCATATAAAGGTATGGTATGAGACTATACGAAACATTAGCTATTAATATAAGTCATGACTGGGCATACTTTATTAGGCGCGCTTGCAATTATTTCCCTCCCAGCATTGAAATCAGGCTTATCGATGAAATCATCAACAGAATTCGTATTACGGTTGGCTCGATTTAAAGTTTTTTTTCCTTGAGTGTGTTTGCTGGCTAAACTGTAGCTCTCTATTGATCCATGCATATATCGAAATATGACACGCATTCGAAGTAAGATTTCATATAGATGATCATGCAATTGTATATAACAAGACGTTCTCAATTGCATTTTATGTATATATGCTAACGCTAGTAAAATGGAGTCGGATATAAATGCGTACTGCAATATAATCCTTTAGATTACTTGCCATGGCCGGTGGAATCGAGTTGGGCCACGATCATCCATTCATTCCGAATAAACATGACATGAAAGGTTGCCAGACCTTCAAAATGGCTTGGCTGAGGTTAGAGTAGTTGTTAGCTTGGTGGTTTCAATTTAATAGGATGCATTTACTCCCATTGAAACAACAATTGTTTCAAACTTTTCTGACATTTTCAAAAAATATGTGGGTAGATGCTACCTTGAAATATATATAATTATATGATATAAAAAGATTTCGCAAAATGGATTGATGCTTTCATGCATGTCTTAATCATCTGTCTGGGGAAATCTTGATTAGTTGATTTTACTGTAAGCAGGAGGCACAAATTGTGTCACAAGTAGATGTCTCCAAGATGTTGAGGATCGGCGTTTCTTAAAATGGTGAGTATAAACTCCCCTGTGCATGCATTTGGCATTGTCGTTTCTATATGGGCGGCAGCATTGCTATAAGCTTTGCAGAAAAAAATTATTTGCACTCTTTGTGATTTAAAAACCGGTTTCTATATGGGCCGTCTGCTATTGCTATATGCTTTAGTAAAATATGTGCACTTTTTCTGCTGCCGGGGTTGAGTATTAAGTTGCTTTGCAGGGCGGATTTTCGGACCTTTGGATTGCGGATTGCCGCGGTCGTTTGAAATGAAATTTCGAAAATTATCCTTAATCTAGGCGTTCTATTTCTTTAGGTCACTGTTGTTAGGCTCATGCAGGTAGCTTATAGGTATTTTTACACAGTTAACTATGTAGATGGTCGAATATATGGGGGGAAATAAAATATTTCCTGATGAATATAGTGACAGCGATATACTGGTTCATAAGTCATAACACATGCATATGTGACCGTATGGTCACAAAATATATTACTTATATGAAAAAACATGGCGGCAGAAATAGCGACATTGCAGCTTTAACTTTGCGAAGAAAATATGGCGATGGTGCATGCAGTCGATAAAATAGATTATTATCAAATTTTAAAATATTCTGAAGGTATAATGATGCCCTTAGTTGCTACTGATAGTACTGTGTATAGGTGACATTCCGCGACAAGCTTGACCGCAGCTAGAGGCTATTGCTGTACCGAACATATTGTGTGCACTAGGGAAATATCCAAGCTTATATTTTAGATATTTTAGTACCGCGCAATGCATTGCTGAAATTGAAATCGGTGAATTTTCACGTGTATAAATGGTGTGGGTATAATGCAAAATGCAAATGCAAATGTGTATATATATATATATATATATATATATATATATATATATATATATATATATATATATATTATTATTGTGGATCTAGGAAAGGTTGTCCGAAAATATATACATATATACAAATTGTTGTGACATGTGACCACATATTTCCATCACGTGTCATATCTAATTACGCATGCAAACGCTGCAAAATTGCTTCAAGGCTATTGTTTAGTTGGGATATTTTTTTTGTAAAATGCCTAAGCCGTATTCAGACGATATAAGATGGAGGATTGTGTGGCAGAAATTATTTTATAACAGGTCTTCAACCAGAGTTGCTGTCGATCGCCAAAGGACAGTAGATCGCGTTTTCAACCTGTTGATTAATACTGGTAACGTTACGTCGCCTCATAAGTTTGGCAGACCTCTTTGTAGCACAACACTTTACCAGCATGAGAAACTGGCAATATGTGAAATAATTCTCAGACATCCAGAGCTATACCTTAGGGAAATCGCCGATCAATTAGAAAACGCTGACATTCGGTGACAAACGGGCTCAGAGATAAAATAAATGAAGGTATATTTTACTAATAGCCTGTTTCACATTGTGTACGCTTTGCCATCCATGGATTTAACGAAGCGTTCGGAGCGTTTGCATGCGTAATTAGGTGCGACACGTGATGGAAATATGTGGTCACATGTCACAACTATTTGTATATATGTATATATTTTCGGACAACCTTTCCTAGATCCACAATATATATATATATATATATATATATATATATATATATATATATATATATATATATATATATATGTATACATATATATATATATGTATATATATGTAGTAGGCTATTTATACCAAATACGTTTTGACAGCATGCAAGCACATGCACGTTACTACGCTGGTTCGCATTACAAACGAACTTTGCGTATGCGATATTCTGTATTAATGTCTGGTTATCATCTGTAAACAACTTGATCTTTGCGCTAATTAATTTGACATAACGATGATAATTTGTACTAATCACTGAAGACTTTCGTTCTAACGATTAACCCGAATTTTGATGCAAAATGCAAATGTATATATATATATATATATGTATATAAAGTATAAAATATTGTGATTTAGGTAGTATAGCTAATAATCTTAGTTAAACATTAAAATGAAGGTATAGCTATTTATGTACACGCATACTTGCGCCAACACATGTTAGGTGTTTGAAAATATTTCCTATTCTTTTAATTAGTCAAAAATATCTTGCGTCAATCATACGCGCAACAGGCGTTCAGACTAATTCGTTAAAACCGTTCATAAACATAAATCGTTCAAACGGCTTCAGATTGAACGTTTATTTATCCGTTCGTATTCTCGACTTTAAACGTTCACATTTTTAGCTGAATTCGTCAAAACGTTTTTTGGGTTCGTTGAAACGTTATTACAGATCGTTCACTACCCGTTCGTTATCCGTTCGTTTTGCCGTTTCAACGAAATATCGTTAACGTACGTTTTCCCGTGGAAGGTCAGAAATAATAAATATCCCGTGGGAACCATTCAGCCTATTCAATAATTTAACTTTCTACCCTATAACCTGTTAACACATTTTTAACCTTCTTATCACCTGTACAATGTAGCTCGTGCTCAAGGAAAAACTATATAATTATAAGGCACATTTCGCCAAAGTCCCCTATGCATGTGTTAAAATATGTATTTATCCTGCACTTTTAAAATTTAAGACTCTTGGAGGTGCATGACTCCCCGAAATAAATCCCTGACGTGAGCGGATTTTAGGCCTTGTTCGGGAGACAAAGTTATAGATATTACAGTTTTCAGCCGTTTTCTCCCTAAACGGCCTTTATTGTTGTTAAAGGCCTTTATTGTTGAAATTTAAATGCAATCTAAAAGTTATGCGCGCGTGTTTTGACCACAGAAACTAGGGGCCGGAATGTGAATAGATTGTTGCAGGGATCTCACCCGCAATGAAATTTCGTTCGGCAATGCCTGGTTTTTGTTTTTTTCCTCCTTCTTTTTCATGTAATGGTTCATCTTAATGTTAAATAATTATGTAGGTATTGAGAAGAAGAAAGAGGCAAGTGGAAGCACAAATGTCTGCGAAGAAGGAAAACAGAAATTTTGGGATGAAATAAAAAAGCAAGTTGAATGTGGTGAAAACAAAGAAGATCGTTGGAAGACGACGATTCTTTGTCGTGCTTTTCAGTTTTGTCCAGTAGATCCGAAAATTGTCAAGTATTTAGTTGAACATGGAGCAGACGTCTATTCCAACAACGAAGATGGTGAAACCGTTTTGTCGATAGCGACGAGAAATGGTTTATTTGATCTTGTTAAGTATTTTGTTCAATATGGCCCTGAACATAATTTTCAAAACGAATCCAAAGTTCTTCAGGATGCAATACAGTCTCGGTCATTAGAAATTGTGAAATATTTCGTTGAAGATTGTGGGGCTGATATACATTGTAAAGATGATTCGGGAAATACTGCCTTACATCATGCTGTTTATGTTGGTTGCACAGAAATTGTCAAGTACTTAGTTAAACAATGCGGTGCAGACATGAATGCTAGGAATCCAGACGGGGGGACAATGCTACAACTTGCTGTTACAGAAGGTACGCTAGAATTGGTGAAATATCTTGTTGAACAGGGCGCTGATGTAAATGGCCAGGGTACTGACGGGTGGACAGTGCTGCACGCTGCTGTTACAAAATCTACTCCAGAAGTTGTAAAATATCTTGTTGAAAATGGCGCTGTTGTAAACGGCAAGGATACTACAGACGGCTGGACAGTATTGCACTATGCTGTTTCCTATAGTTCATTAGATATGATGAAACATCTTGTTGAACTGTGGGCAGATGTAAATGGCAAAAAGACCGATGGGTGGACAGTGCTGCATGATGCTGTTTCTAAAGGTACGCTAGAAAAGGTAAAATATCTTGTTCAAATGGGCGCTAATGTAAATAGTAAGCGCAATGGCGGGTGGACGGTGCTTTACGATGCTATTTCTAAAGGTACGCTAGAAGTTGTAAAATATCTAGTAGAAATGGGCGCTGATGTGAATGCCAAGGATGCCACTTACGATTGGACAATGCTTCACTCTGCTGTTACTGAAGGTACGCCAGCAATGGTAAAATATCTTCTTGAAATGGGCGCTAATGTAAATAGCGAGGATAGTAAGGGATGGACGGTGCTGCGCCATGCGATTTTCAAAGGCACACTAGAAATAATAGAATGTCTTGTTGAACATGGTGCTAATGTTAATGACAGAACTGAAATGCAATCAGTTCTGCACTGTGCACTGTGTGTTACTCAAGATACTTTAGAAATAGTAAACTGCCCTGCTGAGAAGGGCGCTGATGTCAATTGTAAGAAGACTACCGGGGAAACAGTGTTGCACTCTGCTTTTTCTAAAGGCAGGACAGATATAGTAAAATATCTTGTTCAGAAGGGCGCTGATGTAAATGTCAAGAATACTTACGGGAAGACAGTGCTGCACTCTGCTGTTACTGAAGGTAACTTAGAAATGGTGAAATATCTTTTGGCAAATGGGGCTGATGTAAATGTCAAGAATACTCACGGAAGGACAGTGTTGCACAGTGTTGTTGTAAAAGGTTTGTTAGAAATGGTAGAATATCTTGTGGAGAATGGCGCTGATGTAAATAGCAAGAATATCCACGGGAAGACAGTCCTGCACTCTGCAGTTTCTACAGGTACTTTAGAAATGGTGAAATATCTTGTGGGAAATGGCGCTGATGTAAATGGAAAAAAGAATAACGGATGGACAGTGTTGCACAGAGCTGTTGTAAAAGGTTCGCTAGAGATTGTGAAATATCTTGTGGAAAATGGCGCTGATGTAAATGGAACAAATGCTGACGGGTGGAGAGTTTTGCATTGTGCTATTGCAGTTGGTAAATTAGACATTGTTCAATGTCTCGTTGACCAGGGTGCTGATGTAAATAGCATCAATACTAACGGAGAGACAATGCTGCACAGTGCTGTAATAAGAGGTAAGCTTGAAATAGCTTACTTTTTCGTTGAGAAGGGCGCTGACGTAAATGCCCAGAGAAATGACGGGAAGACAGTCCTGCACTCGGCTGTTGCTGAAGGTACTTTAGAAATGGTAAAATATCTTGTCGAAAATAGCGCTGATGTAAATGGAACAGATCCTGACGGGTGGACAGTTTTGTTTTGCGCTATTGCAGTTGGTGAATTAGACATTGTTGAATATCTCGTTGACCAAGGTGCTGATGTAAATAGCATCAAAACTAACGGAGAGACAATGCTACACAGTGCTGTAATGGTAGATGAGCTTGAAATAGCTTACTTTCTCGTTGAGAAGGGCGCTGACGTAAATGCCCAGAGAAATGACGGGAAGACAGTCCTGCACTCGGCTGTTACTAAAGGTACTTCAGAAATGGTAAAATATCTTGTCGAAAATGGCGCTGATGTAAATGGAACAGATGCTGACGGGTGGAGAGTTTTGCTTTGCGCTATTGCATTTGGTAAATTAGACATTGTTCAATATCTCGTTGACCAAGGTGCTGATGTAAATAGCATCAATACTAACGGAGAGACAATGCTGCACAGTGCTGTAATAAGAGGTAAGCTTGAAATAGCTAACTCTCTCGTTGAGAAGGGCGCTGACGTAAATGCCCAGAATAACGACGGGAAGACAGTGCTGCACTCGGCTGTTACTGAAGGTACCTTAGAAATAGTAAAATATCTTGTTCAGAAGGGCGCTGATGTAAATGCAAAGAATACTCACGGGGAGACAGTACTGCACTCTGGTATTTCTGACGGTACTCTAGAAATGGTGAAATATCTTGTGGGACATGGCGCTGATGTAAACGTAAAAAGGAATAGCGGATGGACAGTCCTGCACAGTGCTGTTGGAAAAGGTTCGCTAAAAATGGTAGAATATCTTGTCGAGAAGGGGGCTGATGTAAATGCCAAGAATACTCACGGGGGGACAGCGCTGCACTCTGCTGTTTCTGAGGGTACGCTAGATATGGTAAAATATCTTGTGGGAAATGGCGCTGATGTAAATGGAAAAAAGAATAGCGGATGGACAGTCCTGCACAGTGCTGTTGTGAAAGGTTCGCTAAAAATTGTAGAGTATCTTGTTGAGAAGGGCGCTGATGTAAATTGTAAGGAGACTAACGGGAAAACATTGAAAACAGTGCTGCACCTTGCTGTTATTCTAGGTAGGCTAGAAATAGTAGAATATCTTTTTGAAATGCGGGCTGATGTAAATGGCAAAGATAATGACGGGGGGACAGTGCTGCACTCTGCTGTTACCGAAGGTACCTTAGAAATGGTAAAATATCTTGTTCAGAAGGGGGCTGATGTAAATGCCAAGAATACTCACGGGGAGACAGTACTGCACTCTGCTATTTCTGAAGGTACTCTAGAAATGGTGAAATATCTTGTTGAACAAGGCGCTGATGTAAATGGCCAGCGTTCTGACGGGTGGACAGTGCTGCAGGCTGCTGTTGCAAAATCTACTCCAGAAGTTGTAAAATATCTTGTTGAAAATGGCGCTGTTGTAAACAGCAAGGATACTACGGACGGCTGGACAGCACTGCACTGTGCTGTTTCCTATAGTTCATTACAGACGATGAAACATCTTGTTGATCTGGGGGCAGATGTAAATGGCAAAAAGACCGATGGGTGGACAGTGCTGCACTCTGCTATTTTTGAAGGTACGCTAGCAATGGTGAAATATCTTGTGGAAAATGGCGCTGATGTAAATGGAAAAACGAATAGCGGATGGACAGTCATGCACAGTGCTGTTGTGAAAGGTTCGCTAGAAATGGTAGAGTATCTTGTTGAAGAGGGCGCTGAGGTAAATTGTAAGGAGAGTAACGGGAAAACAGTGCAAACAGTGCTGCACCTTGCTGTTAATCGAGGTAGGCTAGAAATGGTAGAATACCTTTTTGACGGGGAGACAGTGCTGCACACTGCTGTTACTGAAGGTAACTTAGAAATGGTAAAATATCTTGTCGAGAACGGCGCTGATGTAAATGCCAAGGATAATGACGGGGAGACAGTGTTGCACTCTGCTGTTTTTGAAGGTACGCTAGACATGGTAAAATATCTTGTGGGAAATGGCGCTGATGTAAATGGAAAAAAAAATAGCGGATGGACAGTGTTGCACAGAGCTGTTGTAAAAGGTTCGCTAGAAATGGTAGAATATCTTGTCGAGAACGGTGCTGATGTAAATGCCAATGATACTAACGGAGGGACAGTCGTGCACCATGCTCTTCGTGTTGGTGATTTAGTAACCGTCAAGTATTTAGTTGAACAGGGTGCTGATGTTGGCCCCGCTGCCTTTGCACTCCTCCAAATAGCTGTTGAAAATAATTTCGTCGCCTTGGTCAATCTTCTCTATGAGAAAGACATCGCGATGTGGAGAGACCAAACGATCATTGTTAAAGGGCGAGAAATGAATCTTCTTGAATGGAGCATTCACCTTGGGCATGATGAAATTACAACTATCCTTAACAGGTCCGTAAAACATCTTGAGAAAATTAAGAAGTTGAAAACTACGAACTGTAACCAGTTAGAAGAGGTAATATTTAACAATATTATAAGAGATAATATAACCTAAGGCTATGGGGATGTTTAGAAACAAAGGACATCGCAGCTCGATGACGCGCATTTTGCAGCAAATCGGTGACATAATCAACTCCGTACCAAACCGCGACTACGGAACTCGCGCGATATACAAAACAAAGATTAACCATTCAGATGCGCACCAAACCATACCTATAAATATATATATATATATATATATATAATATATATAATATATATTATATATATATATATATATATATACACCCGTTTGCAAAAACGTTGGCCGCAGATAGATATATAGATAGATACCCGAAATCTAATTAGAATTGCTTATGTTGTGTAATATGATTGAAATCCCATGCAAATGTATTCATATGCAATTCTAATTAGACTTCGAGTATCTATCTATCTATCTATCTGCGGCCAACGTTTTTGCAAATGGGTGTATATATATATATATATATATTTATATATATATATATATATATATATATATATATATATATATATATATATATATATATATAGATGAGTATAAAGATGTTAGATTGGGTAGGTTACACAACTAATGGCGTGATGGGCCCCTTTCAATTGGTGGGAGGGGAGCTGAGGCAAAGTTTGCGCAAAAAAATTTTGTCTTCCGAATTTTCCAATCAATTTTTTCTACACCAGCTGGTGTAGCGTTTTACCACCATACTACCAGGGGCCAGTTGTATAAAAGACTAGTTAACTTCTAACTGTAGTTAAGGGCAGAAGTCAGAGTCGTGTATTTCTGAGTTAACTAGGATTTAACTATGCAAAATGTAGTTAATTAGTTTTACACAACTGGCCCACTTGTTTTGTTTTTCTTTTCCTGGAGGAAACCTTTTTAGTGCAAAATTTCTTTGCAGTATTGTGCAGATTGATGAAAATTTGAGTGAGTCAGTCATAGAGTAAACTTTCCGGGAGGTAGTCGTGGTTCATGTTTATGGTCATTTTTTAGTTGGGTCATCAGTTTAACTTATTTTATTTATTAATTCTCTATCCATTTTGCAAAGTTCACAAAAATATTGAGGAATCTTACCGTTGCTGTAAATTAAACTATTGCTTTTCCGTGGTGTGGGTTTTGTTTTAAAGGAATTTAGCCCCCTAAAGATGGCGCATGTGCCGTCGCACATGAATTCGCAGAGTTTGGTACGGTGGTGAACTATAATGGGGATGGATGCGACATTGCATGCGATGTATTTAGTCAGTGTTTATTGATACAAGAAATATTTTAAAGATTGTGTGTTAAGCATAATGCTTTGCGTGCTCAAATTAAATTACATTCACAATGTAAAGAAACGAGGACTAAGCGTTGCTTAAAACATTTCGGACGCAAAAATCGAATGAATCTTCAAAATATAATTCAAGACGCCTGTTCTGGCGTATTAAACTCCGGCGTGCCGCGCACGTACCAGTCTTCAATATAAAGCTTCTGGACATAAACAATACAGTTCATACTCATTTAGATGCCTTGCGAACCTAAATGTTGTTCGATCTAGTCATTCAGAAGCACATCGTACTTTAAAAAGTATAGAAGTTCAATTGTTTAAAAATGTAAATAAACGCATCATACGTTCACTTTGTCTTACACGGTGGAATTTGCCCCGACGTGTCAACGCGCCCATACACGACCACATCTTGTTAAACGGCGAAATAGCAGCGATATTAGTAAAATAGGACCAGAATCCACATGTGTTAAATATATTCCTACCCCAATTAAATCTAAACTCAATCGAAAAGCATCAAAAGAACGGTTTATTTGTTCCTCTTGGAGGAATTGCCGTATCATGCGAGCGAAATCAAATCGCGCATCGGTATTCAGAGATTTGAGTTGTGCACCACAACTTTTGGGAGACAAAACTGTGACGTAGTAAATACGGTCACGTACACTTTTCAAGTACTAAGACAAAAAACAAACAAAAACAAAACAAAACTTAGGTGAATTTTCAACTCCGTCCCTCATGCCGGAGTAGTAATGAAAATTATTATCGTGGCTAACGTAATTTGAGTACTTTTGAGTATAATTTTTTCATTCTAACGCTTTTCTACATTGGTGTATCTCTGAAAAGAATATTGTGATGTTGCTACTCTAAGTCACCAACAGGGTAAGCTGAAAAAATAGCTTGACCACGGTAGCGTGAAATTTTTGCCATATTTGCGTATCCTGTAATATTGAGCAACAAAATATTAGCAATAAATTTCCCGTTTTATTAAGGCTAACATTTAACCTGTTCTTTATACGTTAAGTTGCATTTTTAATTACTATGTTTACCTGACCCATTTATGTGGGACAAAAGTCTGGTTGCTTAGGTATTAGAGAGAACTTTGCACTAACCTCGGATTCCTAGGTTTAATTTTTCAAATTAGGCGTCTCGCTTTCAATTTCACGCATGCTTAGGTTTAGCAAAATAATAGTAATACGTAAAAAAAAAATTTCAATAGGGGTTATGTTTTTTATACAACCTGTAGAATATATATCACTTATTACCCAATTTAAGGTCCGTACTAGAAAAATATCAGACCGAGGTCTTGACAGTACGGACCGAGCGATAGCAAGGTCTGTACATAAAAGACCGAGGTCTGATATTTTTCCAATAGCTACGGACCGAGCGTATTCGGTTAATAAGGAATTTATTATATGGCATACAGTATTTAGTTTATCCCCGAGCCGGTGCGAAGCACCGGGCGAGGGTACTAATTCCGCCCGGAGATTTTAATTACGCCCGGGAATGCAAATGCGAAATGAAAGTTGTCCGCCATTATGCCATGGACGTTGGGCGTTTTTGTAAGTTATGCGCATGCGTGGTTTAAAAAGAGTTAAAACTGGTAACCAGCAAACGTTTGCGAGCGTGCGATTGGCTAAATTAAAATTTTGGTTCGCGTCAGCATAACTGATATTTTGAATTATAAAACTTTTTTAAAAATATTTTTCATTTGGATGGTTTTGAAAATATACGGAAAAATTCATTCGGAAAATTGATTAAAATGTAAAGTAAATGATGCTTTCGGATAGAAAAACTTTGATTCAAATACATGGTGAAAAATCTACGAGTGTTTTTGAACAGGTAAATAGGTAGATTTTGTATTTTAAAGCATGCAAGTATTTCGTAAGTTTAACTTGTAGAGTTATCAACAAACGTTGTAGTATTTAAAACTATTCGTAGCACAATTAATGAATTACGATTATAGTTGAATGTGATAGCTCGAGAGTCGACTAATTGTACTTGATATAGGATTTTACTTATACGACTTCGATCATTCAGCGAAAACGAGTATTATAGAATTTCACTAATGGAAATATAGGTTGGTTACTTCAGGCGAGGCGATTTTGCATGCATGTATTTCTAGTTTATTTAAATACAATGCGCTGCAGCATTATTGCTGGCTCTTTCGCCAGCCAGTCGCCAAGCAAGGACTGAAGCGGCTTCGAAAACTTTGTTTTTTACACGTTAAATAAGAATGATACAGTAATATAGATAAAAATCAAAGATGAATAAATATAATATTCACATGTACCAAATAATGCCCTTCTTCGTCCATTCTCCGTCAATATTTTTCGTGTCAAAAATGAAAGTGCAAGCTTGTTTTAGTTCAAAAATATGAGAGTTGCACGGTTACTACGGCAACGGTATAATAATGGGGATTCCAGACCGGCAAAGAACCAATTAGCGCACGCCATTTTAGTCACGAGACCGCGTGCAATATAATAAAGACTATTATTATATTCCGGAATATTTTCCTGAAAGAATGAACGAAAACACCCCGGGGGGGAAGGGCTCAAGCAGCAGCTTCCACCGCCCCGGCTCGTATAAGCCTATTGTGTACAACGTATACAAGATTTGCATTCGAATTATGTCTTTCTGTTAAAATCAGTTGCAAATATAGTATTGATTTGAGGTTTCGATATTTAGAAGTTGAGAATATACTTTTTAAACTGTGAATGTGTTCTTGCTTTTTTTTTCTCACTGTGAAATATTTATATCTTTTTTTCAAAGATTGGCATTCCGATGCAGGCTTTTGTCGCCGACAAGCAATTCAGAATTGGCGATGGCGGATATTCAAGTGTCTATGTTGGTCTCATGAAAGATGGGACTGAAGTTGCTGTTAAGAAAATGACGGTACAAAAGTCTGATAAAATAGCTGAAAACGAAAGGGAAATTATGTATCTTATTAAAACAAGCGACTCACCATTTATAGTGAGTTATCGACATTTTCACCGTGACGATACCTTCATATATCTTATTCTTGATCTTTGCGAAGAAACCTTGAGGGAACTTGTTCGTGCATCCAGTATTGAACATCTACAAGAGCGTGGTCCAAGAATGATTAAGGAAATTCTATCAGGACTTGAATTTCTTCATGGTAAAGGTATATTGCACAGAGATCTAAAACCATCAAACGTCCTGGCTGGTATCGAGGGTCGCATGAAACTGGCAGATTTTGGATTAAGCCGCGTGCTAAAAGACGATGAAACTACAGTTGAAACAGACGCTAAAGGCACTCACGGATGGATGCCAACAGAAGTAATTGAAGCAATAGACAAAGAAGAAAAGGTCATTTCAAAAAAAATCGATGTCCAGGTAGCGGGTATGATTGCTTTTTTCATTTTAACAAAAGGTGAACACCCTTTTGGATCCAAGTTAGATCAAACAAAAAATATTTTGAAAGGAAACTCTGTCCATCTGAAGAAACTTGGTGATCGTAAAGCTCGAAAGTTTGTGTCGTGGTTGATTCGTCACAAGATTGATAAGAGACCTTATGCTGAGGAAGCGCTGTGGGACTCTTTCATTAATAAAGATTGATACAGAACTATTTTACGGAGAGGAAAGCAATGTTATGAGAAATTCTCCCAATATTTTCACATTATGAACGACGAGTTCGTAAGGAAAAGAATTATCTGAATTTTACAACATGGTATTCCTTTGTTGTTGAACTGAGTAAATCAACATAATCATATTTATCATTGTATCCATTTTTTGTGCGCATGTGTGCTACATTTTAGCTCTACTCAGGAGAGGATCATCTAGTAATCTAGACAAACTTGTACAAAGAACAGTTAGTTAACCTGATAATCATTGTATAAATTATAAATGTTTGTGAACTGCACATCTCAATAAACGGACTATATAATTTTCGGCAATAGTTTGTGCAGTCGTAGTGTAATTTGGGCAATTTTTACCGCCCTAATCGGTTCCTAGCACATGCCTATATAGTCGGTTCATACTCGTGCCCTGGTCCTTCCGTATGCGGCGTGCGACCTATGAAGATGGCTGGGAGAGTGCAAAGGATGTATTTGTCGGTGTTTATTGATACAAGGAATATTTCAAGGATTGTGTGTCTACCGTCATGCTTTGCGTGGTCAAATCAAGGTCAAATTCCACGCATTAAAATCTAGATTTCTGTTTATAATCCATGCGAAATTTTAAACTTATTTGCTAATTTACCCTTCTAATGAAAATGCAAGACACTTAGTGGATCGCTTTCAAGGCAAGATGTTACCAATAATAATTGCAAAGGATGACGGTCGATTACTATTCTTCAATAATTCTTGTTCATTAACATCTCAAAACAATCATGTGTATGTTTTTTAACAAACTAGTAGCCCGTTTAGAGCGAGTATGTGAGTGAAACTTCTGGTAAACTTATTCCATTTGTATGTATAGCATAGTCTACAGATATACCTAATGATATACCTTCATAGTCTACTGCGTCCTTTGTAATGACACTTACTGCTTTTTATGACATTTTAATATTATAATCTCTATATAGATAATTAAAATTATGAACTATAACTAGTTTCTGATATTTAAAAGAGAATTTAAGGAAAACCAGCACCTTCAATCCTGACTTTACCCCCCCCCCCCCACACACACATTTTTTGGACCCCAAAATATTTGAAGTAAAAGTCAGCCTTTTAATTAGCGCTAAAGAGTTACTTACAGAAAATTGAAATTCTACCGAGAATTTTAATTAGGGCTTAGCCCCACTCTCTGACACGCTCCGCGGGCCCAGTTTATTTGTTCGCTTGCAACGCGAACAATTTTCGTCGGGAAAACTAAAAGTCCAAATACACGTAGCGCCGAGGCAATTTTTTTTCCGTAGACAGTCGGACACATCATTTTTTTTTAAATTGTATCCCATGATACCCGATGATTCCTGGGGCTTTAATCAAGCCACAGAATCATTTTGATTTGTATATAGTGTATTAATATATTTATTATATTTATTGTTATATTTGTATATAATGTAGTGCCAGTGTTCGTTTGGTGTTATCACAGTTATTAAATGCTATCACCCAGTGAGCACAACGACGTCGATTCAACGTTGAATCGACGTCACCCAGCGATGTCGAAACGACGTCGAAAAAGGTTCGAAAACGCAAATCGAATCGACGTCGATTATTCGACGTCGAAACGACGTCGGGTAATCGACGTCGAATCGACGTCTGCAATTTATGAAATTTCAACGTCGAAACGACATCGAAAATGATTTGAAAACGCAAATCGAATCGACGTTAGATTATTGCCTTAAAAACAACGTCCGTGCATAAGATTTTAGCTAGATTTTGAAATGCATATAAAAAACATACTTGCACTGACTCTATAGTTCAAACAAATTTTATTCAATTTACACCACCTTGCTTAAATCTACAATATACTTGATTTGAAATTAAGAAATCAGATTCGAAAAATTGTCTGGCATTCCTTCATCTCAGATTATGTTTTCTTAAAATCTCGCCTCAAATAGTGCGAGAAGCGTCTCTGAGTATTGTAAAATAAAAAGTAAGTTTTTGGACACTATAGACCACTATGGAATTGGATATTATGTTCAAGTATGTTATCTTTCCCTTCATTCTGAACAATCTTTTCATCATCATTATACACGCAGCAACAGGAGGGGCATTTACTTGTGATGACAATTTGCGACTTGCGATTTGCGACTTGCTTGGCCAACCTTAAAAGTTGAGATGATATTGTTTACTACATATGTGGTCCCTATGTGTGCGCTTACCCCATATATTTGTTATAGGTCTGTGCTAGGCCGTTCGCTAGTTATTTACTAAGCTTAAAGCTTAATGATGTAGCACGTCGACACTTCAGTTGAGAAAGGCAACGGCAAAGGGAGCAGCATAAAAAAGTTTATTCATCTAGCAAAGGGCTTATAATAGTACGCAATTTTCAAAAAATGAAAACAAATAGCTAAATCGAATCACGTTCAACACATAAAGAACACACGACTAACATACGGAACCATAAATTGGGTCTAAATCATCAAAACTAAGTAGCGGATTGAATTGGATTATAAATGCAATTAGTTCTGGCGTCAAATATGGCGATCTTACTGTATATACAAAGTCATATTAGAATGAATAACCCGCGATCACACAACGTTGAAACATAAATTAACAAAATCTAATGAGCAAGTATCGTTATTTGTTTAGCTGAACCATTTTTAAAAGAGAATCAAAGAGTTTGGGCAATGTTTTAAACGTTTAAATTTCAAAATATAATCACGATGTCACGATCGCGTATTCATATCTCGCGATTCATGGCCTTTGTCATGGCAATACACACTGTAAAACTGACTCTCACTAACCTTTACTGCTTTCTTGGATTTATGCGGAAGATATCCAACCATTAAACTGAGAAAATCCTGTGAAAATATCCCGAAATATACAGCTACAATGTTTCATATTCCGTTCGCGACAACATGTTTCAATTTTCAAATGGACGCGCTCAATTCGACCTTCCCGAAATGCACTGCGCGCAATCTACCAACGATGCATGACCGATGTTGCTCCGGGGAGGCCCGAGGTATTTAATAATAGTTTTAAATAGTCTGTTACATAGAAATTAACTTCTTAAAATCGCAACATTCGTCCTAACTATCTATCACGAATGATATTATTACCATTGCGATCTTTGCAAGCTGGTCCTGTAAAGTTTTTATATAACGTCGAAACAACGTTGAATAAACGTCGCGAAAACGACGTCGAGAATAGGTTGATATATCGACGCTTTAACGACCTGACAAAAACACATCATTACACTACATATATGATGTTCACAACACTTTCCCAATATTGTTGTGAATTCATATACAATTTAAATGCGGCAAACGCAGCAAACTCTAGTTTTACCTGACGTCGAAACAACGTTGAAACAACGTCAGTTTGCGACGTGGATATGACGTCGTGAAATCGACGTCGAAACGAAGTCGATATTGGGTTGATCGACGTCGCGACCAAAATTCAACCATAAATCAACGTCGAAACGACGTCGTGTGCTCACTGGGCATACGGTTACTTTAAAATGGAGGATCGCGTTCGAGGTGCCGTTTTGGAAGTCCAAACCAATTTTTGTGGTCCCAAAGACACCGAGGAAGTTTTAGCGCGAGTGCGAAGTGTCACGCCAATGGAACCGGAGCAATATAAAATAACGAGCGTGCAAGGATACCCCAACAAGTTTAAAGCAAATGTGAAGACCACGTTGCATTCAGAGAAGGATGTTGACATGTTTATCAAGAACTATGGATTCAAAAACAATGAAACGCTAAGAATAACAAAATCCAGAAAGGCATCCCAGCCAAGCAAACGCTTCAAGAACACAGACTGTCCATTCTCATTGGTGGTCCGTCTCGGCAAAGCAGACTGTGAGCATAACTCTGTGGTGGACATTGAATGGAATCACAACCACTCTGTTGATTCTTTACATTCACTAACATTCAAAGACATACCATGTGTTGTCAAGATAGACATCATCAACATGTTTACTAGTGGCTTATTACCTGATGATCAGCGCACAGAGAATTTCTGAGGCAACTGCGAAGTCAGTGCAAAGAGAACTTGAGTACCAGAGGAGGTTGTCAAACCGGTCTGAAGCACCACGACGAGATGATTTCAACCGAATTTACACTCAATATAAAGCAGAGCGCTTTGGGACAAATAGCATGTCCGATATGTTTTCTGCTCTGGAAGAACAGATTAGAGTTCTGAAAGAAGAGATCCTCATTATACGGTGGAATACCAGAAGTTTGATGAGGAAATTGACCAGCCATTTATTCTAGCGGTGATAACACCATTGATGAAACGTGTTCACCACCTGGTTAGTATGAATATTATGCACCTATCAATGTCAAGCCCCAGGGTGGTGGCCCAGGAGAATTTGACATTTTTCCAAAAAAAAGTCAAACTCCCCACCTAGGAGACTGGCATCTATGTCAAATCCCACTGTATATGTGAAAGACATAGCAATATAAGCCTTTAAAATGTCAAACTCCCCAAACACTAGGGGGGCGGCAATTAATGTCAAATTACCCACCAATGTCCAAGTGCATGACTGTATTGCATAACTAATCTCAAATAATTCATAATGGTCAGAGAGTAAATGAATGGTTTCCTGTTATACTGTACGTGCCACAGGCAAAGAAATTGGTGTTTCTGGATTCATCGTTTGCATTCCGTAGACGGTCGGAGGCTTCTCAGTGGCGTAGCCAGCCCGACAATTTAGTCATGCTATGCTAATATTTTGGTGTTCATCGACTGTGAAAACAATGAATTTGTAAAGAAATGAATAATGATAAGGAATGCACAAGGAATGGGGTAAGTTTTGGTAAGTGGCGTCGGAAACAAGCTGGCACAGCTTGAGTAAGACGCGTGCAGGCCGAGTACGACCAACATTCCCTCTCGTCGGTACACCTGACCACTCGAAACTGGGCAAGAATAGACTGAAAGCCGTTTACCATTTTTTATACCCTTTCAATATGTATAATTAGATACAGATGGTTACCCACATCGGTCATT